TGGTTTGACTGAACTGCGCTCGTGAGCTGAAATGTGTGAAGCAATTAAACTGTTAAACCTGTGTGTTTTCAGTGCAGTAATGATTTGCAAATAAACTCCCTTGCCAATGCGCTTAAAGGGTCAGTCCACTAAATTACAAAAGAAGTAGAAGTCAGTGCTGGAGCTAGGGGCAGAGGAAACCCGGGACATGAAGAGGAGTTTAAGTTCAGTAATGACACACAGGTTGGGTTTTTAAAAGCTAATTCGGATAATTTTCAGACTAGGTTTACAGTTTGATGGTTTTTAGGCAAAATAAATAAAATAAAATGAAAAATTTTGTGTTATCCACCTAAATTGCATACCTGGCAGTGTAGAGAACCCGTTAAAGGAAACAATATTTAGATCACAATGTAGTGAAAGTAATAACGAACAGTTAAATGAATAAATACAAATGTGAAAAATTGTACATTTCTATTTTTTTTAATACTCTTTAAATTTTAGTTTACTTTGGTTTAGTTGCTGTGGAGAGATTTGAACTTATAGCCTCAGTATTTCCTAATGCTAGCTGCAGACCTGACCCCAGTGCAATGGAAGTAAATGGAAGTAAATGGAATTGAGTTTGTGGCGCTCACAGCATTGAAATGTACTTTTTCAGTGTTAAAATAAACAGTAATTCAGTGGTATCACTCAGTTTTTATAGGGCCTATTTACTCAGTTGTAACTACTTTGAGCCATTGTAATAGTGGCATTGTCTCTGGAAATAGATGTTGCTCTTTTGATATTTTGAAATGTAACTTTCATTGCTGTGAGCGCCACAAACCAAATTTTATTCCATTGTATTGGTGTTGCAGCGGAAATCTCAGATGAATATGAAAACCTGCTCAACTAAACCCAACTATGTGACCCAACTATCTGCACGAAGTGACCCGTTAATGTCTTCCTGCATCTCTTTGTGTCAGGTATGTGTAACCCCAAGAACTACAGCGACTCTCCGGCCACGTCGAAGAGCACCGTGGAGGAGCTCCACCGCCCCATCCCCTCGCTGTTCCGCGCCCTCACGGAAGGTGACGCGCCGATCAACATGATGGTTGTGTCCTTCCCCGTCGCAGAGGAACTCTCGCATCATGAGAACTTGGTGTCCTTCCTGGAGTCGCTCGACAACCAGCACCAGAACGTGTCGGTGCCCGGCAACAGCATCCACGCCAGCTACGACACTCAAGGTAACGCCAGACTCATCCAAAGTTATTTCAGCTCACTAAAATGTATTTGTTCACACTTGTCATAAGCTTCTCATAGACATATGAATCCATATATTGAGAGTCACTCTTCACAGGAAGGTGAAGTCTCAGTTTTTCAGAGTAAAAGAGAGGTTCTCATGGGTCTAAAAATTGTGTCCATCCTACAGTAACTTGCATTTAACTTGAGAATTTCCAATTGTGAACTTGTACGTCTATTATAACATTTAAGAGGGAAATGTTGTAGGGCTGCCACAGACCATTATTTTCCGTCACAGTTTAATCTGGTGATTATTTTCTTGATTAAATGTTTTGTCAATAAAATGTCAGATAATGGTGAAAAGTTTGATATGCAGTTTAGTGTCAGATATCTCAGTGTAAAGCAGAAGAATCCTCCAATCCACATTTGAAGAAGCTGCAACCGGTGAATGTTTGGTACTTTTGCTTTGGAAAAAAAAGAAAGGGGAAAAAAAAGACTAAAAACCATCAATCGATTATCAATGTAGTTGTTCTTTAATTTCAGTCGTTTAGTAGACTAATCATTCCAGATGCACTTTTTACTCCCCTACATGTAATTAACAGCTGCAGTTATTATTTACTTTGCTGATTCAATTTTATACAAACACATAAAGTCAAATGCATTTTTACAGATTAAACTACCTGAACTTGCTCACTCTCGACCAGCTACAACATTCAAACACTACCCCGGGCTGATGTATCAGAAATAAAGATTCACAGCTCTTAAAATATATTATGTGTAATGAATACTTGTGCCACTGCCCATGACTATCTTACATGAACCGAAGATGGATCCTTCTATTTTAAGACACGTGAAAGCAGCTGTGATTAAGTGTATGAGTGAGTTTCTCATTTGAAAGCTGTGCTGAAACGTTAAGATTATCAATCAGTTTTTCAATCCACAGATTATTAATCAATGGCATATTTAAAAAAAGGCAGTCACCTGTTAAAGTCATGAGTCAGGCGAAAACACGAAACATTGGCTGGTTCCAGCTCCTCAGATGTGAATATTTTCTGTTTTATATCATTACAAATTAAATATCTATGGGGTTTTGACTGTTGGTTGAACAAAACAAGTAATTTGAAGATGTCACCTGGGAAATCTTTTGTGACATTTTTCAACATTTTATGACATTTTATATAATTAACGTTATCAAGATAGAGTGGTTTGTCACTTGGCATTTGATGATGTGCTGTCTCACATTGGTTGTGAGCCTTTGTATTATTGCTTGCGTCAAATCCACATGACTAATAAAGTTTTTGAATGAGTTACACATGAATTACACCGCATGAGAAAATTCAGGCTTTACTTACATTTTTCTTGTTATTACATAGTTTTCTGGTCATGTCGGGTCCAGTCAGATTTTTCATTTGCATCTTTGCCCGCCGTGCTAATAAAATCAGGCCCGACCCAGAGCTGGAGTAGACTACAAAGTCTTCATGAGACCAGTTCGGGTTGGGTCAGACTTTCATGGCTACAGAGAAACGGTGCTTCCAGAAGGTCTCCAGTTCAGGGAATTGTAACTGGGTTGAAAGTGTTGTTCTGCTGCCATTTTTTATTTTCATCTGCGGCTGTTTTGGCTCCCTCTCTCTAAACCAGGGCTATTTGCTATAAAGACACACTCATAATAGGAGCGTTCCCGCAGAGCTGAGCAGTTAACTCATTAAGCTCACCAAAACATATGGTCATACTTAGCTGCTGCAAATTCACTTCATCCCTGAAGTAAAAAAGTAGGAACATTGAGGGTTAAAAGTAATTACTTTAAAATGTTGCTTGTTTTCATAAACCACATTTACTGGATTTGTGACTCACGTCTTGTGCTTTGCCTTTCCCTTTTTTTTTTTTTTTTTTTTTTTTCAGAAAACATGTGCACAGTGGTCTACTTTGACGACTGCGTGTCTATCCGTCAGTGTAAACTTTACTGTGAGTCAATGGGAGGATCCAAGTACCGCTGGTTTCACAATGCCTGCTGCCAGTGCATCGGACCCGAGTGCGTAGACTACGGCAGCAAGGCTGTGAAGTGCATGAACTGTCTTTTCTGAAGTGCGGGACATATTGGTACCAAATGTCTGGGCTATACCAGAGGACTGAGGGCAGAGGAAACTATGACTGTTATGTGTTAGCATTCCTCGGTTACCTTGTAAAATACCCCCTACACCCCTCCTCCTACCCCTGCAAATTGTTTTTATTCTGCTGTTATATTTCACTGTATATTTTTAGATATGTTTTCAATAGTGTTTTTTATTAGAGGTGTATATGAATAATGTATTTTTACAATTATGGTCTGCTAAATCCCAGTCTCATGATGCCAAATAAAGAAAAGTTTGGTGACGTGGACTGCTTTGTCTCACAGGAAGGAGTCTGATTTTCAAATGTCTTTTCTTCGCGTACTATATTTTGTTAAAAAAAAAAAATGTATAAAAAGGCCCAGCATGAGTGGAATAGTAAATGTTTGTCTTCTCTGTTGCCTGTCTCCTACTCTAATCTTAGCCTAGTGTTGCCTGACTCAGGAAACGCATCATTTCCTGGGGAAACAAAGTTGTTATTATACCATTCTGGTCCACAGGTGTTCCAGTGCTCACTGACCGTCTCATGCAAGTGGAGGGGAAAGGGAACGTTTGCTGATGCCAATCTCTCACCGCCACACACAAATGCTCTTTGTAATGCCAGTGCATTTTCAAAAGGCAGCGGGGTGCCCTATCACTGATTCTGTTCCCAATTGGCATGCAACAGCAGTTTGCACAGACTAATGTACCAGACACACAATGAGACCTTGTTTGTCTTTTTTTTATGATATTGAGTCACGACCTCATTTTGCTACTGCAGCTGTGGGTTTGGAGCAGACGGTGCCAACAAAGATCAGAGGACCAGTGGTGGAAGAAGCATTCAGATCCTTTTAATTAAATAATCCATTACAAATAAGAGGCCTGCATGAAATAACCTACTTAAGTAAAAGTACAGAGGTATTATCGACAAAATGTACTTTCAATATCAAACTAAAAGTAGGCCACTTGTTCTCCTGCTCTCTGATTCTATTTTACATTAGATTATTAATACTGGAAAATCAAAGTGTGAGCAGCATTTTATTGTTGCTCAAGGTAGAGCTAGTCTGAAATATGACCCCATCTACATTTTCTGTAATTAGTCAGAGGTTGAAGATCACTGGTTTAAAGCAATGTGGTGTATTTTATATGCTTATACTTTTCTTTATGTAAAATCTTAATGTAACTTAACTATGGCTGTAAATGTAGTGGAGTAAAGCGTACAATATTTCCTCTACCTCCCCTATCTCTCAATGTAGTGGAATATAAATTTTAAGTTGCATAAAATTAAAATACTCATGTAAGGTACAAGTACCCCAAAATTGTAGTAGTTGAGTAAATGTTGGCTACTTGTACCACCACTGCAGAGGGCTAATGTGTTTCATATGTCAGAATGACCACCAGTCCTCTGGGTCCAACCACAGCGTTTGGGAAAGTACACATGATCCAGAATAACAAGTGGTTTCACCAAATTTAGATTACAGTTTCTTTTCAAAACAATGTTTGACAGTTTGTCGTGTCCACAGGTTTGAATAACAGCGAACTCGTGGTTAAGATCAAAACGATACCACAGCCTAAACATCCCTCATTAATTCCAGATCAGTCTTGGCCAAGAAACCTACATACAGTGTACATTTGCGGTGAGAGCTCCGTGCAACTGAGGCAATTCTATGTCGAACTACATTACCCATCGTGCACTTTTGCTGCAGCGCAAGCGCAGATGGGTTTATTTAGTATACGGACAGCCGGAAGCTCCACTCTGAAATTGACCGAACGGGATAGTGCGGGGTAAAGTTTCTTGTCTTTTGTGTTTTGCTTGTTCAGCGACAGTACAGCGGTTGCAAAATAGAGTTTAGCACCTGTAGCTAACTATGTTTCTAATGTTGGTTTCGTTTGGACGACACAGCGGTTTAAAACGTGACGGACAGGCTGGCTAATCAGCTAGCTGCTAAACTAGCTGAAGTAACGTTAGCATATGGGCCCTTCCATTCAGAGGACAGCTTCTACTTTATGACAGATTATAATCTAAATATGCTTAAAATTAATGATACACAAATTAATCGGAGTACTTCAATAGTTAGTTGATGATATATGAGTCTTTGTATTTGGTTAGTTTTCCTTTGGAAACAGGACAGAGCAAGTAAAATCGTGAGGATAATCTGCCCACAGCGAAGGAAGATTAAGATATCAGACAGACAAAGAGACTTTATTATTAGTTTTATATTTAGAGTTCAGTAAAGACAGTGTTAGTTAATGTGTTACTGTTGTGTTGCATCAGTTATCACATCTATCTTCTTGGCACACAATGTAATTTCTTAGGAAAACTGTCCACTTCAATTTAAGAGTTGTTTCTAGTATCAATATGTAAAAGGAGATCTCCAGCTAGCTGTCAGTTTGAAAAACATCTTACAGTAAACAGCAGAGGAAGTTAAAGCTTGTCCTTTTTAACCCCATTACGCACTTGCAGTGATTAAAAACATGTAGCCTATAACGTGACAGCTTGGGAGTTCGTTTTTTGCTCAATTTAACAATAAAAAAAGAAAAGAAAAAAAGAGCAGCATCAATAAATAAAGTGTCACCTGCACCTTGCAGACTGCAAACCACAAAATGTATTCAGAAAGACAACGTTTGGACGCCATTGCCATAGATCACCATTATACAGTGTTATCAATTGGCACATAGGCTCTTTAATGACAGGTCTGATTAATCCTTTAACCGTCCCTATGTCCTAAACATCTCAAACTGATGCAGTAGGACACAATGACAACTCAATTAAAAGTGCAGTTATCCCAATGAGTAGGAGCAGTAATAGGGGCAATAATACATTAAATGTGTGCTATAAAATATATAATTTAATGTAATATTAGATTTATATATGATATACAGTATATTCTTGGATCCCAACATACATTCATTTAAAAATGTTAATAGGAAAATATTGTGCAAACGTTCACATTTTCTTTCATATGTGAGACTAAAACCAAAAAATCTGATATTTATTTTTTATTTATTTTTATTTTTATGTGACCATATGATGACAGGTGTGGTTAACCATCTAACCTGGTCAAGGACATGATCAAGAAGTTTTACCTTAAATAGGACTAAATTTTAATTTGCATACAATATTTCATATTCCTGATTATCAAATGATTGTGTGAACATCGAGCTCATCAGATGAAAAAATATCTGCTTATCGACACTCATCATGGCTGTTTCTGATAAATCACAGCTTCTATGGTTGGTGAGCTGGACTGTAGTTTTATTTTTACTGCCTGTGGATGTCAGAAGTAGGACATGGAAGATGGGCTTGTTCATATGGCAGAGCCCCATCTGGTGGGAGGACTTTACCGCTGCAGTTCTAGAACTGCAGAAATAATGTATGTTAGTCGTATCTTAGCTCAAACCTGTATTTTCACTTTGTCCACTTGTCTGACATGGTTTTTGAATTTTGTGTACAAAGCTGTCTTTTCAATGACACTTAACTGTAAGCCCCTGTATTTAATATATATTAGCAGTGCATAATAAACATGTAATAATGGCTTTTAACACTCTGTAATGTAATAATAGACATATGGACCTTTTGAAGTATTTATTAATGTAGTGTATTTGTCAACAATTATAACTTCTCCTATTAAGTCATATTTTATATTATTACAACTGTGATTTACTGTATAGAGCACTGGCAAACTTTTATTTAATCTGATAAACTCATTGAGATCGTGATCCCTTTTGTGTGCGAGTCCTCCCTACAGCAAAGGACACAAACATAGTTGAGTCATATACGATTGTAGTACATATGCGGACTGCACCAAAACAATTACAAACATCTCTAAATAGATTAGTTAAAAGTTTCTATGATTAAAAAGGACTGGAAAGCTGGTGTTCCAAGTTCAGTTCACTATATCATCTTTAGTTCAAATGTGGTCTATATTAATAAAAGTCAGCAGAAAAATAATTGTACAAAAAAAAAAAGAATTAAAAGCCTTGGAAAAACTCACAGACCTGGATACTGTCAGATAAATAATACCTGGATATCAACTGAAAAGATGTAGACCGGCTCTGATCTAAGCAGAATCTGCACTCCCTTGAGATTACCTGAGAGCTCTGCTTTGTATTGTGTGAGTATCTTATTTTTCTTTTCACTGCAGGTGGGATGGAGAGGTGATGTGCCCCGAGCCAGAGGAGTGATAAGGCCAGAGCAGCCATGACCGAGTGCTTCCTGCCCCCCAGCAGCAGCCCCGCTGAGCAGCGCAGGGCTGAGCACCCAGGGGGCGTGGCGCGCACCCCCAGCTCTGAGGAGATCAGCCCCACAAAGTTCCCCGGGTTGTACCGCACCGGTGAACCATCACCACCTCATGATGGCCATCATCACGAGGCACCTGACGCCTACGTTTCAGATGATGACAAAGAGCACAGCAAGAAGAAGAACAAATTCAAGAAGAAGGAGAAAAGGAGTAAGAAATGATCCTGTAATTTGATTATTGAACCTGGAAATGGCCAAAAATGACAAAAAAAAAAAATTTAGCACAAGGTCACATTTTGTCAACCTCTGGACCAGAAAGCTCTGGAAAAAAACTAAATTGAATTGAGAATATGTTAAAGTGACTTCTAGAAAAACTGTTGGTTATAGGAAATGTTGAAAATGGCCAGAGGGATATGCTCCGAACTTAATAGAAATCTTTGAGTTTTTAGCCTGATTTCAGGTAAAGCTACATGCTTGTTTTATTCCCAACAGACAGTAACACTTGACAATAGAGCAGCTGAGAACTGAATGCCATTGTAGTGTTGCTGAATGCCTCCTCACTTGTAGCTGTTGAGTAAAGGAAGGGCTTTGCATGTTTCCATCCTGTTGGCTGTTGTTGCCTGTAGCAGTGAGAAATCGTCCTTTACTGAAAATGTTTTTCACTGAGTAGTTGTCAGCCCCTGTGTCTACTTTGTATCAGGATTTTTCCATGTCTGTATTTAGCTCCCACACCAGAGTACGGTGGGAGAGAGGAAGAGATGTGCAGTTTCAGGGCACACCCAGAGAGCTCTGTGAAGGTGTGTCTCAGGCAGTGGTGTGATACACTGTGGCCGTTCTGGGGGAAACCCAGAGTAGAGATAATTTGGAGGAGTAAAAAACTGTGTAGAGGCTGTTAACTGTCTTTGACACTATCCTGTAGCTGTGTGCTCTGAGGAAAAATATTTAAATCGAGCTGGTTCTGGAGAGGAGAGGCGTAAGGTGCAGTGGGAGCTATGCTAAATCGGTGGTTGACCTCTTTTCTAAGTCCCCATTCTCCCCCTCCTCTGCTATCTTCTCTCTCTCACACATCTCTCTTCCTGTTACTATTTCACTGCTATCATAGTTCTGTCAGAAGAGGAGGATAAGAAAACAGGGTTGTGTCTTCTCTCAGATCTTACCCTATTTCTGACTCTTCTTACTCTTTCTTTACTTTGACAGCGGAAGGCTACGCTGCCTTCCAGGAGGACAGTTCAGCAGATGAGGCCGAGAGCCCGTCCAAGATGAAGCGTTCCAAAGGAATCCATGTGTTCAAGAAGCCGAGCTTCTCCAAGAAAAAAGAAAAGGACTTCAAGGTGAAGGAGAAGGGCCCCAAGGAGGACAAGGCCAAGGATAAGAAATCTAAGGACCTGACGGCCGCAGATGTGGTGAAACAGTGGAAAGAGAAGAAGAAGAAGAAGAAACCAACCACAGAGGCAGAGCCAGTTCCAGTGGAGACCCCCACCTTCAGGCCGATCTTTGGAGCTCCTCTGGCTGAAGCTGTCAAGAGGACAGCTCTCTATGATGGCATTCAGCTGCCAGCCATCTTCAGAGAATGTGTGGACTACATTGAAAATTATGGCATGAAGTGTGAGGGCATCTACCGGGTGTCAGGTATAGAAACTTTGGGATGTTGTTGATTTTTATTTATTTATTTATATATATATATATATTTTTTTTTTTTTTCTTGTGAAAAAAATTTTTGAATATGCAAAAAGTGAAAAACTAGTTTGTCGATTAATCTAATCTGTGTGTGTGATTGATCAAGGTATGAAGTCCAAGGTTGATGAACTGAAAGCGGCGTACGACCGTGAGGAGTGCCCCTGCCTGGAGGAGTACGACCCTCACACGGTTGCCAGTCTACTGAAGCAGTACCTCCGCGAGCTGCCTGAGAACCCGTTGGGTCGAGATCTGGCCCAGCGCTTCGAGGACGCCTGCGGTCGGCAGGTGGAGGCCGAGAAGGTGACAGAGTTCCAGAGGCTGTTGACCGAGGTGCCGCCGGACAGCCGACTTCTTCTCTCCTGGCTCATCACACACATGGACCACGTCATCGCCAGGGAGGCCGACACAAAGATGAATATTCAGAATATCTCCATCGTCCTCAACCCAACCATACAGGTCGGAGAAGGAGGACAGATAAAGCAGAAAATTTAGATTATTGGAAAAAAAAAATAACAAAGAAGAAAATGGGCAAAAATATGATGAAATGTTGCACAGAGAGCAGTAATTTAACAGCAACAGGCAAACTAAACATCAAATAGAGAAATGGAAATTTGGCTCAGGCTCAACTGTACCTAAAAGATAAGAAACCTCCCCTTAGCAACAAACCAAGCGAGTTTTTATTGGATCAAACAGTCAGTTCATCTTAGAAACCCTGGCCCAGTTTAGTGAAGCTAATTTATTCCCACAGGGTACAATCTGTGTGGCTGTTCCACTTATTGTGAACCAACAACCAACAGCAGCAGGAGCCACAGCACTGTTAAATAAACAATTCTTTCAATTAATGAGTGGGGTCCAGAGTCAGTTTAATCAGACTAAATAAATATGCAGGAATTCTGGAGAAACTGGTGCAGAGACAATTCACACTGCAGTTTGACACACATAAGACCAAGACAAGCTCACGTGCACTGCAAGGATAGATGCAGTTTATGCAGTGCTCTCTGGCTGTGTGCTTTGTGTTCACTGATTTTTTTCCCTTGTGTTTAGATCGGGAACCGTGTTCTCTACATGTTCTTCACACACGTGAGGGAGCTGTTTGGAGACGTGGTGCTAAAGCCTGTGGTGCGACCGCTACGCTGGTCCAACATGGCAACAATGCCGGCGCTGCCTGAGACCCAGGAGAGCATCAAGGAGGAAATCCGACGACAGGTGGGCTCGGTCCTAATGCAGCCTAAGTGTCAGTTTTAGTCCATTCATTGATTGACAGAATTGATTCAAGGAAAATTAAAGGAATAGTTTGACATTTTGGGGAAAAGATTTGCTTATTCTGTTTCTTGCCAAGAGAAATAAGCACTCTCATGTTTGTGTGTTTTAATGTGAAGCAGAACCAGAGAGAAAAATAGCCCAGCATGTAACTCTCTGTGAAACCACAACTTGTCAATTTTACACTGTGTTTGTTTTACGGATTAAACAAACCAGATATAATGTGTTGATCTATGAGGTTTAGAGCTGCTGGTAGGCATATATTCTTTTATTTTTTTTATCTTTGGACTTTGGATAGAACCAGCTCCAGCTCATATTGAACAGACAGATATGAGAAGGGTATGAAATCCTTCCTTTGAATAGCAAAATTTTGGTAAGTGTTTTCATTCATCAGTTGGAATTGCTAAATATTTATTCTTAAATGTGAGGTATCCTGCTTTTTTCGGTTTTATATCATTGTAAATTAAATTATATCATTATTAAATTATTATTATATATGTTGGACAAAAACAAGCTATTTGAAGCCATTTAGTGCCAAAGAACGTTCTTTACACTTTTTTCAGACATCTGTAGACTAAAATGGTTAATCAATTAATCTTAAAAATGTACTACAGATTAATGGATAATGAATATAATCATTAGTTGCAGCCTTTATCCATTTGTACTTGAGAGTACTTTAACAAGACACTGGACCAAAACACCTGTTTTCTGGTGCATTTGTATATTTGCTGTACATCCTCAGAGAAAAAGGTCATTTTAACTCTTCATTATAGAGGGTATATTGCTGTTTCTAAGGACAGTAAAATATTTCCATATCTTTTTTGAAGTAAGCAGATGATAGATTGTCATCACTTTAAGCAGGGATTAAAGTGTTACAGGGTAGAAACATAGTAATGCAGCAGGGATTTAGCAAAGTAAGCTTCTCGTGTTTATAGTACATTGTCTTGTCAGCAGTACAAATCTTTATCTTTGCCTCAGTGTCTCAGTGTACCAGGACTTGATATTTTGATACCATGTCTTCCAGAAGTTCATGATGTTTAGTTTATGTTCCAGCACATGCATCACGCTGCAATATAAACAAACATTTCACTTACCCTGCAGCAGACGTTCTTAACTTCACATCTTTGTTGGGGGAAATAAAATATCATACTTGTTTTATGATAAAGGTGTTCAAACGTGTGACTGTTGCATTAATTCAAATTGTTTTAATTATAATTGTCACCTAAGTTTCAACCTATAACATAAATGTGTGCGTGCGTGTGTGTGTGTGGGTGTCTTATAGGAGTTCCTATTGAACTGCCTGCACAGGGACCTGCAGGCAGGGGTGAAGGACTTGTCCAAAGAGGAGCGACTCTGGGAAGTTCAGCGAATCCTGACGGCTCTTAAACGCAAACTGAGGGAGGCCAAACGCCAGGTGAGTTGTGTCTGTGTACTGTTGTATCTGTAGGGATGTTTATGTCTTTCTTTTTGAATTTCTGCTCAAGATGGAATTAATCATAATATAGCAAGCAGCTGCCTGTTTGGTTTCAATGCAATGGTTAGTTGCTCTTGTTTAGGATCCCTCCCGCAGCATTATGGGAATTATTTGCTGGAAACTGAGCACCAGATATTTTGTTATAGAGAACTGGGAACATAGTCTAGTACAACACCACCACTAACCACGGCTGCAAAAATTACGTTAGACTTGAATTAACACCTAACACCAAACCAGAACTGCCTGACCATTATGTTGTCTTTCTTTATGTTTCCTCTGCTGGCCTCCAGGAGTGTGAGAGTAAAATCGCCCAGGAGATAGCAAGCCTGTCAAAGGAAGATGTTTCAAAAGAGGAAATGACCGAGAATGAGGAGGAAGTTATCAACCTTCTCTTAACACAGGTGAGTCATTCAGATAAACACATTACATATTTAAAAAGAATGTGCTCAGACCAAATGATTACCAGTAAACTTGGCACAAAACTCTGAAATTGTTTGTCCTACTTTAGTTTAGTTTCACTCTCACTATAACAATAGATGGAATAACGGATGGAATAATTCTGTGATTTTCCCACATCTTTTCCATATTCAGGAAAACGAGATCCTGACAGAGCAGGAGGAGCTCATCTCTCTCGAGCAGGTGCTTCGTCGACAAATAGCTACTGAGAAAGAAGAAATCGAGAGACTGCGAGCAGAGATTGCAGATATACAGAGGTAAGAGAAGACTGAGATCATTTTGAGTATGAAACATGTTGTAATGTGATGCACAACAGGCATGACATACCTTGTAAGTCCGTAATCCAGCAATGCTTTCCTCAGTCGACAGCAGGGTCGCAGTGAAACAGAAGAGTATTCATCAGACAGCGAAAGTGAGAGTGAAGATGAGGAAGAGCTGCAGATGATTTTGGAGGATCTGCAGAAGCAAAATGAGGAACTGGAGGTGAGAAAAACATTCAGAAATTACTGGCCATTAAGTATTATCTTTCAGTTGAACTCTGAGTAAAATCTAGAAACTACATCACACTTGAAGAATACATTGATTGAACTGGTTGATAAACAGTGACACTGAGTTTTTCATTTTAGGCATGCTTTTCTTTCTCTGGAGGCTTTTTTAAAGGTGGACCTAAACAATATGGAATAAAACCGCTGATATATTCTTAGTCACGTAGCACAAAATCTGGTTCCCTTCATATGTCAAATCTCCCATTTTTTTAACCTGTATAAATAACAAGTAACCACATGCATCTGTAGTGGTTATAATGCATTTAATAAAGTCTCAGCATATTTCAGCCTCTTTTCTCAACACACTGAATTTACTGGATGAAACTTCACTGTGAGGTTTTAATACATTATACATCATTATTTCTGTTACAGTTTCATTGTAACATATTTGCAAAATTAAGGTTAATTAGTTTCCGAGTAGTGCTAACCTTGTTGTAATATAGAGAGTAGCATGATAAAACTAGAAATCTAAAGATACAATCCTTAATAGAGGGAGCAATGTTAAGAGGGAAGCTATTTGTAAGTTTTGCTGTTGCTACATAGCCAACATCAGCTTTAACAGCTGTTATATTACCAGTCTTGCCAAGACCTTCAGCCATTGTTGCGTTTGCAACACTAGAGGTTATAATATATTTTCTGAGCAGTGCTATTTCTTCAGAGCAGACTCGACGCTACAGTGGCTCTGTATCAGAAAGTGATAGTGAGTGACAGTCCAACTGGGCAGGGGCTAGCTGGTTAGCATGCTAACTTCAGTAGAAGAAAAGAAATGATAGAAATAGAAACAAAATAAATGGGTTGCTTATCACCACTGGAGACAGCTCTTGATGAGTAGATGAATAAAGTTTGATTCTAGATTGTAACGTTTCTTTGAGACTGGTAAGTAAACAGCTGTTAAAACTAACGTTGGATATGTAACAGTAACGAAACTTAATAACTCCTTGTAAAAATAACTTAGCCAAAATAGTTAATTCTTCCAATACTTCAGTTTTATGTTGAGGACAAAGACAAAATAGAAATAGTAGAAAATTGCAGACTTTTTGAGGGCCCTCCGTATGCTGGGGCCCTAGATCCACTATGCCTCTTACTTCATCCCTGTACATTCTCTCCGAGTATTACTATATGAACTCGTAGGTTTCTTGAGCACTGTCTGTATTTTGTTGCCCTGTAGAACAAAAACACCCACCTGAACCAGGCCATCCATGAGGAGCAGGAAGCCATCTTGGAGCTCCGTGTACAGCTTCGCCTCCTGCAGAGCCACAAACTGCAGCAGGAACTGATTGTCCAGCCGCCAGCCGAGCAGGCACCACCTGCTCAACCAAGCCCAGAGGCTCGTAGCGATGAGCAAACCAAACGCTCTGTCATCACCACGGTGGCCGCCAGCACCGACACGGCTGCCTCGGCCAATGGAAAGGCAGCTAAGGATCCTTCAAAGCCCTCACCGAGCAAAGACAGGAGAGACACCAACATGTGAGAGGTCAGCGGTGCATTTGGCGGCTCTGTGCTGCCGTACGTCTCTGCCGCTGGTCAGTTGTTCTGTAGTGTCACTTGTTATCCACTGGAGATTTCACATTGCTGGATCTGTGAGTTCATTAGTGATTGTGTCCACCAAGTGGCAGTCATGTAAAAATCTCTTATATGTCTAGTGTCTTTGGCGTCCCGACTCTGTCATCACAAATCAATTACATTGTTTCCCATTTTTCCATACATAACACAAACACAAACACAAACGAACTAGGAATAGAGCAGCTGCTGTAGCGGACAACTGGCTACTAGTCAGAGAGATGAGGGGGGACCATATTTTCAAATCCACAGTGCCAAGCCTGTATGAAGGATGAAGAGGGGGGAACAAGGCATGATAGGATTCGTAAAGCATGAAAGGGGATGGAAATGAGAGATTACAGAAGGTTTATTTTTCACAGGTAAAGACTTGAGAAATAATCATTAGATATATTCTCAGTCCCTGTAACTCTTTTTGTCATTTACCTAGATGCAAATTTGTCATGTTAGGATAGAGACCACTGTGCCATACCCGACAATGCCAGACTGGACACGTTTCCCCAAAGAACCACTATTACAAAAACCTCTTTGAAAAATGAAGAATTTATGATTGGTCTATCTATATATTATATATTTAAGTAGTATTCTGAAGAATACAAATGCCTATTCAAGAAATACATTGATTTTAAATTACAGCTTTTTAGTAATATATGAATATATGTATAAATATATTGTAGATGCTTTCTTTTCTTTGAACAGCAGTGGTGTTGTATGTCGCAGCTGACCAGTGGATGAAAACATGAACCGCAAACAAATATGCAGAAAAAGTATATTCATCACTGCAAAATGTTGACAAACAACTGGAGGCAGTTTCCTGTGTCGTGCAGTCATCTTTTCTGTTATCTCTGCCTCTCGCACAAACAAGGAAACATGGGAAGTTACACTCCTGTGTTATGATGGCATAACAAATCTGTAGGGATGACTTTCGTCTCCAGAATGTGTGCAGAGACACGCAGGAGGCTTATTTAGTTTTCTTGTATATTTGATCATGTTTTTTAACTCACGATGTGTGGAGTTATGATTCATGGAATCAGCTGGCAGTTAGTGAAGGCAACATTAGTCAATCATTTCATTTCACAACTGATCCATGAGCATTGCTAAGTACTGTCAGTAGCATGGCCTGACTTACTTACCGTGTCTGTATATTATTGTAAAATTGCAAACATACTGTATTTTCAGCTCATATGTTTTGTCATATGTTTTTTTTCTATTAATGACCTTTATGAACTATGCTAGTGTGACTGCGTCTGCTTTGGTCATGGGTAAATCGAAGCAATCTCATCTGGACTCATGATTCATTCGTGTTTATTAATCCTGTGACTGAAACATATAAATGCTAGATTGGGCTCAGAAGCTGCTCATAGGGTTATTTTCATATTGTTCCAAGCTTTTGTAGCTTATTGTTGCAGACAGAATAATGCTGTGAAGAATAAAGTGTCAATCCAAATAATTTCTCTGAATATCTTGTCTCTGTCTTTGACACAAAGCCCAAGTTTACCTTTTTCCTCAAGTATGTTTGACTGAATGTGTAGTCCATATTTAGTGCTGCCCGTTTTCCATTACACATTCTTTGAATACTTTTCAGTCTCACATCATATTGAGGCTATAAAAAACTTTTGCATCCATTTTAATAAAGTGAACTGTTTAACCGGTGAGTTTAGACTCAGAATCAAAGCTTGAGTATTTCAGAGATAGTGGAACCACCCGACTTTTTTCTCTCATTGCTTTTACTGGTTTCCGATTTGGAAAGTAGACGCATCAAGTAGGACAAAAACAGCCATAAAAAGACCGGATATGGGCAAATGTTTCAAAATTAAAGCATACTTTAAAATTTTTTGACTGAATTATGAAATATAAGTGTTCACGTGACCTTTTTTGCCATGGTGTCTGCAGTGGTGAAATATTGTTAAGAACATATTCAAATATCTCAGTATTACCATTATGCTACTTATACTCCACTACATTTCAGGAGGAAATATTGCACTTTTTACAGAAAATTTATTTCACACTTTTAGTTATCAGTTACCTGGTAGGGTTAGGGTTTTTTTTTTTTTTTTTTTTTACAAGAGATCAACTTAATAACAACACAATGTGATTTTGCTGAAAATACTTACTATACATACTATTCTTACTTGAGTACAATTTTGAATGCAAGACTTTTATGAGTTATGGAGTCTCTTTTATGTTACATTGTAGTAATGTAATGCTTAAACTGTAATTTAAGTAAAGGATTTGAATACTTTTATAACTGGGTGCATGTTTGTTGTATTTTGTTTCTCCAAGATAAAATGACTGTATCCAAAATAAAAATGTGTATTATGGAGCAGGTATGGGGCAAGTAAATTCATTTAAAGTAATGATTCAAATCCATTTCAAGTAAAAGTAAAATTACAAAAGTGTTATCAGTAAAATATACTGAAAATGTCAAAGTTAAAGTATTCATTCTCCTGTGACTGATATTTGATTCTACGTGACATTATTATTATTATTATATTATATAAATTTGGAATGTAAGTACTAACCATAGCTGTCAAATAAGTGTAGTGCAGTAAAAAGTATATTTCCCTCTGAAATTAACTGTATAAGTAGCTATACAGTAGCAATAGAAATACTCAAGTAACATAAAAGTAACTCACCATTGTACGTAATTACAGTACTTAAGTAAATGTTCTTTCCATCGCTGTTATAAATTCACTACAATGTCCAGTGTAGAGGGCAATGCAAGTTTTATTTTGAAAGTCATCACCGGATGTTGTTTCCCCCCACTAAAATTGCGTGAAAGTCGTTGAAAAAAGATGGTCAGTCTGTCCGTTTGAGGGGCTGGGTTTCTCTTCTATCCAAGAAGAGGAAAAAAAGTCAGAGTTTCAAGCATGACGAGACAAAGACACTGACTGAATCATTGACAAATAATGATATAAAAACTTTAACAACTCACCATGGCTATAAGGGAGCTCAAAGTTTGCCTTTTAGGGGTAAGTTACAGATGTTTTTGTTGATCCATTTTAGGGAAAATTCCTTTAGCCTGCAGCGAGTGTAACCTACTAACCGAAAACATTTTGACGTGAACAACATATTAATAGAAGTAAGCGTCTCCAACTGACACTGTCAGTTTAACTTATTTCTTAAGCTGTCTTTACATATCGTGTCGTTCTTTGTTGGAAAACTTGGAAATGTAACTAATGTTGGTAGCTAGTTGACTGAAATACTCAATAGCTCACCGACCGGTGGGCGCAGCAGTCATTTTAGGTTTGTTTTCCTATCGTCTGCGTCTGATTTCCATGTTTAAAGCGACTAAATCTGCGCTCTTGCGTGTTTTTGCCTAATGTTTTTCAACGGTTCTGACATTTTATCATCCATTACGTCATCGTTAGATCAACCGCTACAAGTCAGCCGTTAGTTTCCTGCTGCGTTAGCAAAACACAGTCCCTCTGTATAGACGGTGACAGAGATGGTCAGAGGCGTTTGGGTTGCAAACTGCCAGTTTATCAATGGAGTAAAGGGGAACTGGGAACATCGAAGAGCTACATAACGTTTACCAGGCCTGTGCATGCCGCCGAAGGCCACTGACATGCTCATCCACACATCTTAATAGCCAAATACTGTCCTTAACAATCTTTTGTTACTCCTCTGCTGTACATTCACTATATACAGTCAGAATCAGCATACATGAAATTAAGCCAAAATAGAATAAGTTACAATATAAGGCCAGGGCCTCTTGTTTATATGTGTTACTTACTTAAGATAGTTCTTCACTGAGTGTGAGCAATAAGACACATTTATCCAGTGACTTACACAGTTTATTCAATGGTATGTTATTCTACAAGAACATATAGGCTACATTTAGAATGTTTGTTAAAGTTAATTCTGTTTGTGTGAGATCTTTAATTCACTCGGGAAATTAACAACAATCTGATCCAAAATATTTATAATGTATGGCTATATAAGTAGGATGGAATAATTGGAAACTGGTTGAAATGGAGACAAAATTCTGCAGCATGTGAGAGGAATCATAACAGGAACTAGTATTGCATTTCACTGCACTTCACTGACAACCGCAGACAATAAAGATGCTTAAGTCAGTGATTGTCATGTCTCACGTGTATGTGTGTTATGTGGGTTATGTTGATTATGTTGGTTATCTTATGACAAAACTAAATCAAAGACAATAAGCCCAAGCTCTTAACTTTAAAAAAAAAATTTTTTATAAAGTTAATTAACTAGTTTCGTCAGTGACAGATACAGAATGTTGTCTTGAACAAATAAGTGATATTGATTATAAATACAGAGCTAGTTGCTTGATTCATAGACTAACAGGAACCTATCTGATGAGGTAGGCATATGACCAGACAGTTGCATAATCAGTAGTGGTCAATAGTGAGCACTGACTCTGTTTACATTTGTGTTTAGAGTGCTGTGAATGATGTGTAACCCTCTGTTTTCAGGACACTGGAGTTGGAAAATCCAGTATTGTTTGCCGGTTCGTTCAGGATCACTTTGACCACAACATTAGTCCCACAATAGGGTAAGAGCATCGCAGTACAACTCATTAAAGACCATAACAGCAGAGAAACAGATCAGTCACGTGAAGGTATATTTGCTCCTGTACCAAAATGAAACAATAAGATTTGATCAATCAAGGGCGTAGGCTTGGTAACAACATTGGTAGGGACAAAACAACCCCGTCACCCCTCCCAAACAAAGAGGACTGTTTATTGCTGTCAGCTGAATATTTATATAAGATCTGTATACATTATAAGGAAACAAGGAATCCATTAACAAGGAAATTAGTTGTTAAAAGAAAAATTGCAAATATGCAAACCTATACCCTTGATATCAATTCAGGCTTTATATCAGAATCTCCCAGTGAACTTTGGAGTCAAGTCAAATCATGTATAATATTAGTTAAGTCAGTGATACAGCTGGTAGCTACTAGGACTGATTATAGTCATCAGAAAAACCTGTCAGACTTAAATGCCACACCAAGAACCATTTATAAGCTAAGTAGTTGGCTTCATGGAGAGAGTGATGTCAACTAATGTCAGAAAAAACAAATTACCTAAGGAGACAGGAGACAAAATAGAATATGTCTAGGTTTCTTTGGTTCATTTACCCCAAAACAAATGCATATTTCTTAATGGAATTGTTTGTGTCTCTATCAGAGCAGAGTTTTAAAGCTAAGTAATTTAGATTTTTCTTCTCTCTCTAATTATAACAGTGACCTTTACAGGCAGTGCATTCCTATATTTGTCTATATAAACTTTATAGGTAAACACAAAATAGACTCCAGTATCTGGCCTGTAGGGAGCAGTGTTATGCAAAAAGTACACATGTAGCAAATACAAATTAGTATACTGCACTGTAGACAAATGCCAAGCTTGAACACTTTATCTAACACAAATCTGGAATCAGATTCCTCAGAGAGAAACATTAGGCTGAGACAAGCTCAGATAGATTTTTACAGTAATTTTGTTATTTTGCTTTGACATGATGCAAAAACTGGGGATGAATCTAAATGCACCACCCTCAGTCTAGTTTGATGGTTGGTGTATTTGTATCCATGTGCATGGCTGCGGGGTCGAACGTCTTTGTTCTCAGTTGTGCGGGTCTCCTGCTGACTTGCACAGACTTGTTTCCTGTGTTTCTGAAAGAAAATGCTCACAAGCACAAAGTGAAATGCACTTTATCATCCACAGAGCATCATTCCTGACCAAGACGGTGCCATGCGGAAATGAATTACACAAATTTCTGATCTGGGATACAGCCGGACAGGAAAGGGTGAGTATATCCACAACATAAATTCATTTACTTACCACTAAGCTTTAAGTTTACACACACGACTCTTTGAATCACCTTTTTTAAAACAAAGTTAATTTTCCATTGCATTTGGCATCAGGAAGCTAGCAGTGACACAATCGCTTCACTGTCAAGGGGTCCTCATGACAGGGAGTTATTATTAGGCGTGAAACAGGATGATTCACATGGGTTCAAAGGTCATGAGACTGTGGTGTCTTCATAGTGATTCATTTGATGGAGGAGGGGTGGTGGTCAGTGTGTGTGTGTGTGTGTGTGTGCGCTTGAAGCTTGCCAGACTTGCTTACAGCATGGAAAAAACTAGTGCATGTATTTCCTGCTTGTGTGTGAAATTGATACCTTGAAACCTCTGTTACCAGGGTTCATTGTTCTCTTTATCTGTGGGGGTTATTTGACGGAATGATGTCACCGCAGTTGATTAACGAAGATGATGTTATTAGGATCTCTGGCAAAATGCAGAATAAAGACACTGTGTTAAGTTTTTGACCACTAGTGGCGCTCTCTGGTGGGCAAACTGTGTAATGGAGGCACCATTTCTACATGATCTCGAACTTAGTTTGACAGTTCTTTATTGCAAATATCAGCTGACATACTCACTGATATGTCGGCTGGTTTATCAGCTTGGCTCTAGTTAAGAAACATTAAAAAAGGTTTTAAAAAGGTTTTAAGAGGAAAGAAATGCCAATAAACCACGTTTATTGCCAACTAGGTTTTCATATACAGGGAATTTGCCTAGGTTCATAATACTCAAAATATTACAAAGTAAGAGCAAATACAAGTGCAGAATCAAAAGTCAAGAATCACAAATATAAAACTGAAATTTATAAAAAATAAATATGTTAGATGTGGAGGGTTCATTAATGCGCAGATACTAAAGTTTTTACATTAATGTAACGTGTAGTGTCCATGGGGCAGGATGAGAGTCTGTGTCTTTCTTCTAAACACTGGAGCAGCCTTCAGAGTGAGTTAAAAGTGTGAGGAAGTAGCTTTTCTCCATCAGCCACTCATCACTTAAGAATGTATGGGCACAGGATACTCACAGTACAGTACACTGTGTTAGACTTTAATGGGTTAACACAACATTTTATAGTTTTGTGAGTCGGTTTCACATGTAAGGTTGGTTTAGTTATAAAGGTCATGGAGCGTTTTCGAAGCAATTTACCCTGTGGTGATAGTGCTGTAGGACTTTGCTCCAGAAATTAAATGTGATGTGATAAACTGAAGTGCTTTAAATGTGTTGTTGTTTTTTTTTAGTTTCACTCATTAGCTCCCATGTACTACCGAGGATCGGCGGCTGCTGTCATTGTTTATGACATAACTAAACTGGTAAGACTCATCATCTCAATTAAACTTGGGTTGGGTGGTGAGCGTGGGTGGTGACATAGTTAGTGGTTTAAAGCTTCACAGCTGTTGGCAGGATCCCAGAAGGCGAAATGAATAACTAACTGTTGCTGAAGTGTTCTTGAGCGATGCCCTTCACCCCTAACTGTACCAAGGGATCTGCTGATGCGTCCAGTAACTTCCTGGTGTATTAAAAAAAGTGTGTAACTGAAGAAGCTGGTTTCACACTAAGAGCTTGATGTAAAATTCAATTACTTTTCCATCAGTCTAGGATGCTTTGCTTCCATGACTACAAATGTCATTCTTTCCTGGTCTGTTAATGGAAACTTGTCTGAAAAAACCTCCCATCTAATGAAATGAATATGTGACACCACTTGAAGAAAATGTGGGGCACATTCTCATAAAGTACCTATCCCAGAATTGACCATGATGTGTTCTTGTTGTTCAGGACTCTTTCCAGACACTGAAGAAGTGGGTGAAGGAGCTGAAGGAACATGGTCCAGAGGACATTGTTGTAGCCATAGCAGGAAACAAGAATGATTTAGGGGACATCAGGTGGGCTCATTTTCTTTTCTTAGGCTGTCATAGCTTTAAAAAAAAAAAAAAAAAAGAGCTGCTTTTTTGGGAAATTTAAGCAACACTAATTACATTAAAGAGACACTACACACATTATGCATCACATACTTTAATTAAGACAACCCACGCAGCAGACTCTTCCAGGTTTAGTGAATGAGGCTCATTGTTGTGAACAAAACAATAAAGTCACCTTCTTGTTATACCTGTTGTGTAGCTCATGTCAAGTTACATCATTAATAAGAGTATAAGAAGACTGCAACGCAGCTGGTAGCACAGATCAGTGTACTGTAACAGTCATTAGCTGGAATCTGTTCTGTACACACTTAAGAGTTTCATTAATAAGAAAATATTAAGTTCAATTTGTTTTTTTTCCTCAATATTGATAAAACACACATATTCAAGGGAAAATAAGAATAGGACAAAACAAAGACAAATGAACAAACAAAACAGGAATCGTTAAAAAAAACAACAACCTACAAATATGTAATTTTATAGTATAGTTCTGTTGGAGACTTTGGACTACAGCATACTGTATCTACATTAACAATTCAAACGCATGGATTAAGTCACCCAGCTCACCTTCCAGTATCTTTTTGATGAGGGGTGTTTTTTTTTCTTTTTTTTTTCTTTACAATCTCGGATTATTGTTTCTCCTGGCCACTAAATTCTCAGTAAAGTTACTCAGTGTGCATTCTCAGTGAGTTTAATCAAAAGCACAGCAGTGCATTTCTACACAGGCCCCTGTTTGGACATACCTTTTCTGACTTTATAGAAATGTAGTTTGTGTCAAGAATCTTAATGAATTGTCATGCGGTGGCAAGAACAGCACCACTCTGGTGCAATTTCATCCTTTCAGAAACACCTCAACTCCTCCTCCTCCTCCTCCTCCTCCTCCTCCTCCATGTATCCTCTTTTCCAGCAGTTGTCCAGAGTAAACTAATTAGAGATGGACTGTATAAAAGTAATTGATGAAAATTTTGATTTTTCACGGGATGTTTAACTGTGGACTCCACACTAACTTTAGTGTCCTTCTCTTTTACAGGGAAGTTCCTATGAAGGAAGCTAAGGAGTTTGCTGAATCAATTGCAGCTATTTTCATCGAGACTAGTGCCAGGAATGCTGTCAATGTTGAGGAGCTCTTTCAGAAAATCAGTAGGTTTCATGCCTTTATGTTGTGCCTATATAATGTGTGTCATTGTACTGTATGAGAGGAAGAGAAAGATTTGTGCTATTGAGGAAATGTTGTCAAAAAAAGGAAGCCTGTACACTCTCAGAATGGCTAGAGAAGCATTTTCAAATAACTAAATAAATTGGCTTCCCTGAAGTTGGAGGACCCTTTAGAAACATAAAAAAAAAAAACAAGCAGAAACATGTCCTGACTTTTGCCTCTAGTATGGGTCAAACCTAAAAATGCTGGATCCCACATTTCCCTTAATGCAAATCAGCCGTGTCCTTCTTCTCTGCCTCCTTAATGCCCGTTTCTTTTAAATCCCACACTTACAATTTGTAATGCAGAGGTTTCTATTAAAAACCTCTCTCCCTCTAACATGTTTTGAGACATTCAAAATGACCTTGCTAGGAATAATAATTTGTGTCTGATATGGTTTTTCAATGATTTCAACTTCAGCACATTCATTATTCTGCACAGTTCAAACATGCAAGTGATGTAACAATAAGTAAAACACATTTTTCAGTGGAGGGTGGAGATGTGGACAAGTTTTAGTGTATCAGACAATGTTGTGGTTATAAAATCAGTCACTATTACAAACTTGCTCTGTTGTCTGATAATAGAAACAGAAAAACATATTAATGAGAAAAGCTTTATTGGACCTATACTAGGTTTTGACCTAGTCTTGTTTATTTTATGGATGATAGTAATGGTTGGATTGACAATGCACTGCCAAATAAGTGGGAATATTAATGTTAAACATGGCATGACTGCTTTGTAAATGACCCTTTGCTGTGTGTGTGTTTAAGGTAAACAGATTCCTCCCCTGGAAAATCCTGAGGTGGACAGCAACGAGTCCTTTAAACTCACCCGGCAGCCAGCTTTGTCCACCAGGAGATGCTGCTAGTACCAACAGTGGCAGATGAGATTACTTCCTTCAGCACCAGGGACCCCACCAGCACAGCTCATAGTCCACAATGCACACAGTGTCTTACTCCAGGGAAAGACAAGACAGTGGACAGACAGATGCCAGCTTGCACATGTGGTCACCTGCAACATGAAAACTTGCCAACAGTATTATATGGGTCAGTGGACGTTCATTTCATTTAATTGAAGCAGTTTCAAGTTTGATGAGGTTAGGAAGCAGAAAGCCATCCGTTTGTTCCCCTCAGGTGATGCCTGAATTACATTAAGATTTCTGTCCGTGTATTGAGATGGAAAAGCTCATTCAGAAAGGAAGTTTTATCCCACTATCTATGGTAACTTTAAATTTAAGCACAAATGAATAACAAGTCATCTGGCTGATGTGCTCATTAAAACTGGTTGTAGATGCAACTGCATTTTCATTGTAAGAGTCGACTGCTCTGTAGATTTTCATTGCACTGTGGCTCTTCAATGTTTCGCCTTAAATGAAAGTTTTTTCTTTTTTATATTCATTATTATCAAGAGTAGACTTTTCCTTCTGGTGGAGCTTTTGTGTTCATGTGTGTGTGTCACCATAGAATTTCTTTAGAATATTTGAATAAGAGGTTGTTCAGATCGAACCTTAGACAAGCATTCAGTTGTATAGCTCAGATGCTGCGGCTTTACATTCCACTTTGTCATGTGTTCTCACACACATTTGCTGCATAAGGGTTTAACTGTAATGCTGCAGAATGAACAGCTTAGAGCCCTAAATTGTAATTACAGTTTGACACTCCCTGTTGAAACACTGTGACCAATACTAGAATTGTTTACATAGTGATTTGTTAAAGATGTTTTCTACATGCTGAAATGTATTGTCTGAGATCTCACTACAGGGAATGACTGTATACGACTCCCAAACATGAGAAGTATTTTTTACCTGAAAAAGGGTTACATTTATAATATTAAGAAGAGAAAAGACCTGCATGTATTTTACTCTGAACATGTCTACAGCTGTTTAAGTTTCAAAAAAACATTGTGTTGTATATACTGACCAAACTCTAAAAGAACTTTTGGAATCTACTCCTGACTTTTTGGCTTTGAAAAAGGTGGACAAAATGGTAAGAAGGAAGATGGTCCTCAGCCCAACTGTGTAAAATGAGATTCTGAATTGTGTTTGCTGCAGATTCTTTGGCAGGAGTACCTTTGGATTTGACCACTTTAGACATTTGTAACAGCACTTTGACCACAGTATTAGTTATGAGTGATCTTTTAATATGTTGCAGTACTCCATAACAGTATGATTAAAGATTGAAATGGACAATTAAGTTAAATTCGATAGACATTAACATTATTCTAGTTCCACATTTGTATTGTGTAAAAAAACATGTTTACATTTGTACTTTGTCAGTTATAAAATGTACAGTTTTATCCACTTCTAATGAAGCTTAGTGTATGATGCAATTATAGTCTAATTTTGCCAATAGGTACTGTTCTCTGTATGGAAAGTCACACCAATCTCCATTCAAAAATCTTACTAGAAAAAACAAACACACAGGACATTCCTCCCAGAATGTGATGTGACCCGACTTTGTTTTTGACCTTAAGGTTTTCTTGGGTAAATGTGCCACATACATAATCCATCAATGATCTTTTAGTACAAACAAATGTCAACCATATGACTGCAATCTTCTGACAAAATGTAGGGCAGTGATTAACTGAAAGTGAATTGGGGATTACTTAGTGAACCAAATGTACAGCACAGCAAATCAAAAATACTGATTTTTCAATGGAGTCTGGACTGACACTACTTCCATACAAGAGACATTGAAAAAAGAAATTTTATTAGAGGTTACATGTTGCCATTTCCAACAAGTACTATGTGTTGGCACACAAGTGCCTTTTTTTAATGTTTTTCTCAACAAATGTATGACATGGCTAAAAAGTGCGTACTGCCAGAATAATGCATGAATTACTACTCTAAATCTGTACAGACTAACTGTACGCATAACAGTCAACTTTGAAACTACCAGTTACCTGCAGCAATCCTTATACTGTATGCCTTAGTCATGCTTCCCTGTATCCTCTGTAGACCAGATTAACTTTTGTATATTAATCCATGTAATAAAGTAGTAATTATTCTATTTTTCGCTTTAGTTTTTTTGTTACTTTTCCAACTGGAAAAATAAAATATATGTTTCAAAATGTGCACCAAAGACACCAGAACATTCTTAAAGGATTTAAATAAGGCCTCTCTAATTTTATTCTTAACGTGTCGTTGATAGAGACCAGAAAGATGAGTGAGAACACAGTCTCACTAACAAAAGGTTGATGCATTTCCATTTAGCCTACTTGACACCTCAGAAACCAAAACTCAGTGAAAAATGATACAATTTGGTTGCACAGTGTAGGATAAGCATTCACTCCAGTCACTGCAAACCACATTATGTGAAAAATAATGCCTTGCTTTATTCACTTCACCCAAAACAGCCTAAATTTAAAATGTAACTCCTCCCTTGTAAACATTGTATTACTCTCCCACTACCTTTTAGCTTTAATCCCAAAATAGGAAACACTTAACAAATTAGTCTTAAATTAAATTAGTGTTATTTTGGCACATACAGTACCAGTCATAAGTTTGGACACACTTTCCCATTCACATGAATGTCCAAACTTTTGACTGGTACAGTATATGGTTGACATGGCCTTTAGAAAAGTTGCAAACAGCACATATTAGTTGCAGAATGGAGCTTTTCCAGAGGGTCCTATTCAGTACGCTGCAGTGGATTACCCCCTCAGCTGCTTACAGAGGAGAGGACTACACCTCTTGTCACGAAGATGGATTTAACAACAGCCACAGTTGTCAGCGGTGTCCGAGAGAGCAAAGTGGGATATAAATAGTTCAAACTGAGAAAACACACTGTATGAAACATCAGGATTCCTCTCCATAAACAATTAACCTCTCACTTTCTTTTCCTTTAGGTTTTATTCTTATAAAGGTGCAAACTCACATCATTAGCATCACAAAACTTTTTTTTTTTGTGAGGAAAATTTGGGGATTTTTCTTTTATGCAGCCAGCCTCTAGTGCTCATTTGAGGAAGAGTATCTTGAGGCTTTTCTGCACTGGCTTTAGCATTAAGACATGGCAGTCAAACATGTTTGTTTATGACTAGAATCAAGACAAATCTGAAACTGAGCCTATAGTTTGACCTGCTCAGCAGTAGTAATGTAAACACAGTGTGCTTGTTTGCAACTCTAATGTACATCCTCAAAGTCACATAAATGACAAATGTTTATACTTTTTTTTTTATCTAGCTCTGCCAAGTAGTACACTTACATTTTATAACTTCTTAAAATCAGACATCTCTGTTAGAGAGTCTAGGGAGACATAATGTGTGCCTTTGAAGAGGGAGTGTGTTAATAATGTTGGCGTAACTGATTGACAACATGGCTCTTGTTCCTCTGAGAGGGTAAACTGAGTTAATAATAGTCAAGTGTGGGAGAGAGGAATAGAAAACTTTTTGAACTAAAGTGTTCAATTGTGCTCATGGCGCTGTAATTCATTTCAAGTAAATAAATATAAAAATCACATATATTTTATGCTTTGATGATGAAATTTTGTGTTTTATTTACAGAAAAGTTTTAGTTCGTGTTAAGTATTACAAATATCCTGCAACTACCTATTATTTTCAATATTAATTAATCTGCCGATTATTTGTTGATTAACTGATTAATCATTCTGTCAATCTATTTGTCTGACCAACAGTCCAAAATCCAAATGATTATTTGATTATCAAAATAGTTGTCAATCAACTAATTGATTAATCGACTAATCATTGCAGCTCTATAAGGTATGTTATAATCGATGGCAAATTCTGTACATTAATAAACAATTTAAAATGTCCTTATATCTCCTTACAACTATATTATAGTGTCTTGTGAAATGATTTTTTTTGTTTATATAACGGTAATGAATGCTAAATAGGGGACTTAAAGTGAAGTGTTACCAATATAATATAATTATCAGTTGTTGGTAACGTGATTTTAAGTGCAGGAAGTAACTGAAAAGAAAGGAGAAAACAAATAAGTCCCACATGTTTAGCCCAGCTGCATTTTCTTGTGTATAAAATAGCCTCATGGTGTATAATTGCTATTTAAACCACAAATACCAGAGGCCCCAAACGTCCTAGGTTTACTATATATTGTGCCTGTCTACAAAATTTTATTAATCACAAATTTGATTAAGCCTTTAGACCCTAGCAACCACCCATGTAAAGGGGTGTGTCATTATTTCCCCAGACACACAGACACCAACCAGTACCAGTACTCAAGAGCTGAACTGATTAGTTGATTAATCAATTGACAGAAAGTTAATTAGTTTCCCAGTTTTCTATAATGGTAAACTCATAGTTTGGGTGGTTTTTGACTGTTGGTCAAATGAAATGAAGCAATTTGAATATGTTAACTTGAGGATCAAGAAATAATGATGGGCATATTTCACTTTTTAAAAAATTTTATTTAATACACTAAACAATTAATCAGTTATTAGAGAAAAGTAATGTTAGAGGTATTGACTGCAGATAATTGTTGGCTGCAGTTTTAGTTCTATGATGGAATAATTCAACCTTGCCCAAAGTTTTGTGTCATAATTACTTGACTCAAATAAAAAAATGTGAGCAAAGGAGATCTAAATTGAAAAAATTCAGGTTTTTAAACTAGATTTCAAAACTCTCTACAAGTCTCTCTACAAGATTGGGATGGAAGACCCACAGAGTTCATATTCTAAGAAAGTGGTTAAATTTAGAAATAAAAAAATAAAAAATAATTAAATTAATCAAATCATGGAGACCCAAATTGTATGGAGTAAAACCTGCGGATTTATTTAAATAAAAATCTGTTAATAAATAAGTACGTTGTTTGATGATACTAAAGACAGAAGTATAGGACATAAGTAAATCTGGAGTCATGTCAGTTCAAACAGTGTTTTTTTCCTCCTTCGTCTTTCAAAGTACACGCGGTATAATTAGTTTACTGTACTATAATCACATCTGAGCCACGAGGGCGCGCAACAGGATTGTGCACCCGCGCGTTCAAGTATTTGTACCCACATGCTCGTTCGCAGAGCTCAGTCAGCATTTGACTCAGTGGTGGCAGGGGATCCAGGATTTCCACTTGTCAGTTACTCCCTGATACCGAAATCAAGTGCATCCCCCTCAGCTAAAAATGTCAAAGTTGGATCAGATCCTTATTCTTGACCCTCCCTCCGACCTCAGATTTAAAGGTAGGTGGATAACAATTTCTTCAACGAAGTTGGGAGTAATGCCTGACTGAAACGATTTCACACTCCCTCAAGCGAATTTCGTTGCTAGCGAGCTAGCTAGCATTCACCGCCATTTTAAGTTAGCCAGGGACGAGACGGGCCGCTGTAGCCCCGCACTGTAGTGACGTGGATAAGCCGGCGTGGCGTGCATCTGGACGGTATCCCGTTCATGACAACACCTAGCAAAGTGGTAGAAGAATGTGGGGCAGCTCACTGTGGTTGTAAAACGTAATTAAAGTGAACACCTTGTTTGCCAATAACCTCACTTGAGCAGCAACATGAGCTAATATGCTGCTGTTGTAGTGTTAGCAACAGCAAACTGTTGTTTCCTCGGGGCTCAGCCTATTCCTTGAAATGCTTACTGTCCATAACCCGGACGTTATATGGAAGGAAATTAACTTTTTTTCTAGCGACAAATGAAGCGTACAACTTGACACACCTCTTCTCGAGACTTTGCCATGTCAAGCTGCTGTAGTGACTGACAGTTTGGATAACAAACTTGGCTAACCAACTGATATTGTAAGGTTAACGTTAACAACCTACGGTTTCAACAACATTTGGCTAACCGTCGATATAGAAACGTTTCTTTATGTATGGGGCTAACGTTGGTTCGTTTCTCCTGACTCCATTAGCTGTGTATATACTCAA